AAAAAAGTACTATTACTTGACATGAAGCACTGCAGTGTAGATAGGGAAGAGTCTAAATGCTCAAAATAATTAGTAATAGAACGTGGACCTTTCCACTAGTTTCAAAACAGGTGGCAACTGTATAGGTGCTCTCAGTACAATTGCTGAAAAATAAAGGTCTCCTTTTATGAACTCGGATGTGCATTATCTGGCATCTTTCTTAACAACCTTCTCAAACAGGCACAGGCTCTGTCTGCACTGTGGTACTTCTGTGCCTACAGTTAGCTCAGCCTGTGCCTACGTGAGGAGATTGAGCTTAGCAATAGAAGCAGAGCTGGGGTCAAGTTGTGCTGTGAGCCTGATGTCCACACTTCCTGTGTTTGCAGGGCTTTACTTCGGGCTGGCTCTACTCTGGCTTTATCAGGTATGACTGCGTGGGGGACAGTCACAGCTATCACTGCAAAACAGTACATCGAGAAGGACCCAGACTGGAAGGGTGAACTATCCAGGTGTCCCTAGAGGGATCTTTTTGATAAATGAAACAAAATTCCAGCAGTTTTCAGGACATTGTAGGGAATGGTACAGCAGCACTCCCCATAGCACTGTTAGTCCTGAACAGCTCCTTTCACTGCAGCTTCCCATCAAATCCCACAATTTCCTTCCCTCAAAGACAAAAGAATGTAAGAAAAAGAAGAGGAGGTGAAAATGGGACATGCAAAAACAATGAGAGCAATCAAGCTTAGAGAGACATAAAGGATACAAGGAATGCACAGAAAAACAAGAAGCCTGAAAAGTGCTACACTTAACCACCAGCTCATGGCCAACAACAGCAAGCACAGGGTGCAGTGGGGATTCAGCCAGTCCAATTAGCCAACATAGCAACCAGAATTTAGTGAGGCTGAGGATGACATGAGATTCTTGTAAAAAATTCTCCCTGTCCCTCTCCAGGACAAGACAAACAAGAATTTCCTATCTTTAAATAACTAAGAAAAGTAAACACACATAGTAGCTTTGCAATTTTCATGCAAAGCGGGATGGGGCTTCATTTACTTAAGCTTGTTTGTTGCTATATACATGGGTCAAACAAATTATTTTAATGCTATAATGTATCATGCCTCAATACATAGTTAAGCACTTAGTTTTAGTCTACAGAAAACCAGAGGGAGGTACCTAGTATAGGGAGGCAGAGGCAAAGTAACCCGAGTCCACTTGTTGAAAGTGTCCGAAATGAGGATCCTCTGGAGATGATACTTGTTGCATTCCACGTTAGTGGGAAGACAGTCTCTCAAAATTGGGTGCCAGCTCAGCCCAAGGTCCACTGAGTATTCCAGTTCAATAGCTATGGGTGCAAAGATGGTTGGTAAGTTAATTTGGAGTTGCAGCCGCAGGTCTGCAATGAACTGGTAACCCCAGAAAGCGTTAGTCACAATCTCTGTTGACAAAATAACCACTCAGAACTTTCCAAACCCTTGTGTCAGAAGCACAAAGCAAGCCCCTTCGGTGGCAGTGCCGGAGCATACGTTATGTGTTGCTGAGCAGGTATAGCTCAGGAAAAGGGCTGCAGTACACCTCTGTATCCACCACCTAAGTCAAGGGACCACAGGTGCAAAGACAGAGTCATCTGTCAAGTCACCAGGAATAAGTCAAGCCAATTTCTATAGCTGCAGTGTGTAAGGAAGTGATGTGACAGCATCATGACCAGCAACCTTTTTGGGTTTTTTTTCAGGCTGAAGGATGAGATTCAGCTGGCTGTAATCATCATATAAGGTAGAGCATCACTCAGTTCAAACTTTTGGCTCTGTCACAAAACGGTTTAGTCACTCTTCCACCCCTTTCCAGACCAGCTCATTTCATTATCTAGCATAAAGATTTTTAAATTGTGTTTGTTAGTCAGTGAGCTTGTTTTAATTAAACCACAGCATAGCCACATTAAATGAATGTATTCAATTCTCAGCAAAAATCAGCAATTTTGTTGTTTTGAGGTTTATGGCTTATAAACTTTTATTATGAAAAATAACGGTTAGTCAAGCTCACTAAATACTTCAAGTTAAACTTTTATGCAGCAATTAAAAACTAAATAATAACAGGCACAGAACTGTAACTTGAAGTAAATGTTCCAGCTGTCAGGCATTCTGGCTGTGTAAAATATGTAGTGTGGTTGCAGTGACAGGGGTGGTAAATCTGTGATCTTTTTTGATTACTACAGACCCATTTCTTCTACCCTCATGCACAGAGAATGACTCTTAATCACCCAATCAGTCCTACTTGATATCTAAGCATAGAACACAGCCCTATAGAAATACAAGGACAAGTGAATACAAACAAGGGTAAGTGAGTTTTTAGTGTTAAATCTCCATCACCAAAATGAAATGCTTTGCTCATTATGACTGGAAGCATGATTAGGTAGTGTCCTGCCTAATTTAATACTAAGATAATGGTAAGTGTGGTAGGAACTGTTTCTTTGCCAGTACAGAGCTAGGCTGCCAAAACACTTTCAAACTTAGCAGAGATGTTCTTAGGATGCCACAGTCTTTTTACTACCAAAAGAAAAAAATACTGTTAGGCAAGTGAGTAATATATCTATTACTTTCATTGGCTTCAGAATAGCAGAATTAGAGAAGCCACTTCTGAAACTTCATGTAAAACCTTTTTCAATTTTTATGCAGAATTCTAGAAGAATCATCAGCCACCCAGTGATTTAACACAGGCTACATGCTGCAACATATTGTATTCTCCTTCTCATAAAAAAGTCTATACCCCAAAATCCTACACTAAAAGAATGTAATTTAAGATGTACAATCAAGCATCCAAAAGCTAAGAAGACCTATTCCTTGTGCATCTTAAACTTCACATAATGAACTAGTTTTTAATTTCCATGTGATGTGTATTCATTGCAGAGCATGTTTTTACTTATACGTGTATATATATGTATATGTGTATATATACATTTACACATATAAAAACATGCTTTGCACTGAATACACAACATATGGGAAGGAAGGAAGTTAGGTAATTAAAAATTGCATCATTATGTGTGTGTGTATATATACACATATATATGCATATATCTATAAACACATTCATACACATATATACATATATATGTATGTTTATTATTTCATATGGACAATACAAATTTTTGCAGGTGATGCTGACTTTGCATGTGTCAGATTTACACTGAGAAATTTCTTAGTTATACAGGTGTAAGTGAGATCTAAACTGAGACTTACTTTACCAAAAATGTAAAACTACAAAGCAAGAAACATGCTGGCAACATGCAGCTGCTGATCATTAGAACCACAGCATCTCCACAAGCAGTGGGTACCATATACTGGTAAATGGATTTGAGTAAGACGGCTGTTAGTCTTTTTCTTAAATGAACTGAACTGCTACTTAGGTGCCCAGAGGGAATAATATACTTTAGTTTATCTTAGGCTTCAGACACTTAGAATAAAAATGCTGATATTACAATTCCTAACAGAAACATGCAGCTTGCTTTTGTTTCTCAGTTCTTGTTGCAATGTATAATGGAACCAGAAAACAAGCGGAGTTTCCCATACAGGACAGGAAGGGCAGGATTTACTAAGAAGTCATTACCATAACAGGAGTCCGTGACAGAGCAGGATGCTGCAAAATCTATTTGCAAAAAAGAGTCTTCATTGACAACGATGTCAGTGGTGACAACATAGCGGGTGCTAGCTTTCTCGATGAATACCAGAGCATCCCCGGTAGACCCACAGACTGGCATCTTTGTTCCACCAGGATGGAGCAGCCACTTTCTACTATCCAGGGTGGTGAAATCATCTTCTAACACAGTGTTGCCAGAGATGTTTCCTCCAATAAGAATCTGAAATGGTAGGAAAGGAACAGTTTTTGAAAAGAAAGAATGTTTAGAAGTCTTCACAAATGCACATGTGACATAGCATCCTGCAACAGGAAGAGATTTACTGATCTATTCATATATATTCTGCTGGTCAAAAATGGATAAATTTACTTTGTAAAGAGTTTAGGTTATGAGAAAGGGGAATATCTTTTTCCAAAAAAGAGATGCTAAAGAGATCAGCTCAGCTATACAAATGTAAAGCTCAGGGATGTAAACTCCATCCTCCAGTAAAACTGCTCACAAAAATAAATGTTGGTAAGAGCAAAGTGATTACACTGTCATTTTTCCTACTGACTGTTCAGTTCTAGTATAATCTGGCACACTACTATCAGATTGCATCTGCTGACAGAACTGAGGAAATAGTCTCTGTTCTGCCAGGGACTGTAAGATGTCAGCATTTTAGTATTGAACAGCAAACAAGATAGATAGAATTAATTTTCATTTGTTATTCTGAGTTCAGTTTCTGACTGTTCTGTACTAATATAACTACACTCAGTGAAGATACAGGAATGAAAGAGTGAGGATTTTTTTCTTTTTAAATGGAGGGATGGGAAGTAGAATTTTATAACTACATCATTAAATGTGGCTGGGAGTTTGGTTTCTGGGATTTTCCTAAAGACCTGAATAAACTCCTTTAAAAAAAATTCATACATATTTAAGCAGGTTGAACTTTGACAGCCAAATAACACTACTTAGAGCACAAATGAGGCTTCTTGAGATTTATACCAAGTCATACAAAGCAATATAATAATTTTTATAGAAGCAAATCCTAAATCCCAGATATAAAACAAAATGTTTTCAAAATTAGAAGATGGATATAGATTGATGTTTTTCTATAGTTTTCCCTATTACGTTCTACAAAGCCAATTACATATTTGGACAGATTTAAAATGCAGGTTTTTGAAGTGTGAACTCAGACTTCCATGTTGTACAGTAAAGCTTGCAGCAATGTGAACCTGTGACTCTAGTCATGTCTAAATTACTCTCCTAGCTCCAAATGGGCATTCAGTACCCCACATGGAAATGGTACATTAAAAACACAAGACAAGCAAATGATAATTGTGCTCTATTTGGAGCCAGTCCTGTTTAATATCTTTATCAATTATATGGATGAGGGGATTGAGTGCTCCCTCACTAAGTTTGCAGATGACACTAAGTTGGGAGGGAGTGTTGATCTGCCTGAGGGTAGGAAAGCTCTGCAGAGGGACCTGGATAGGCTGAATCAGTGGACTGAGGCCAACTGTACGAGCTTCAACAAGGCCAAGTGCCGGGTCCTGCACTTCGGGCGCAATAACCCCATGCAGTGCTACAGACTTGAGGACTAGTGGTTGGAAAACTGCCATGCAGAAAAGGACCTGGGGATGTTGGTGGACAGCAGGATGACCATGAGCCAGCAATGTGCCCTTGCGGCCAAGAAGGCCAATGGCATCCTGGGGTGTATCAGAAGGGGTGTGGTGAGTAGGTCGAGAGAGGTTCTCCTTCCCCTCTACTCTGCCCTGGTGAGACTGCATTTGGAATATTGTGTTCAGTTCTGGGCCCCTCAGTTCAAGAAGGACAGGGAGTTGCTTGAAAGAGTCCAGTGCAGAGCCACAAAGATGATGGAGGGAATGAAGCATCTCCCTTATAAGGAGCGGCTGAGGGAGCTGGGTCTCTTTAGCTTGGAGAAGAGGAGACTGAGGGGTGACCTCATTAATGTTTATAAATTTGTAAAGGGCAAGTGTCAGGAGGAAGGAGCCAGGCTCTTCTCAGTGACAGCCAATGACAGGACAAGGGGCAGTGGGTGCAAGCTGGAGCATAGGAGGGTCCATGTGAACATAACGACAAACTTTTTTACTGTAAGGATTACAGAGCACTGAACAGGCTGCCCAGAGAGGTTGTGGAGTCTCTTTCTCTGGAGACATTCAAAACCCACCTGGACACGTTCCTGTGTGACCTGGTCTAGGTGATCCTGCTCTGGCAGGGGGGTTGGACTGGATGATCTTTCAAAGTCCCTTCCAACTCCTGAGATTCTGTGATTTTGTGATTCTATAGCTTTGCTAGATTATTGTAATTCTGGAATATCTTTATATAAAGCATTTTTCTTGACCCAGTGAAATGACATATGCTAACAAAAGGGAAACATTAAGACTGAAAGCCATCTAAAGTTGTATTAAAAAAACCAACCCAGCAGATTCCTTACCTGGTCGATTACCCAGGGACTGTAGAAATGCCCGTTGTCGGATGGTTGCCACCAGCGAAGCCGAGTGGAGCTGGAGCGGGCCTTCATGGGAATTTCCAGGGCGATGTAACGTCCCACATTGCTCGAGTTACTGAAGAGGAACTCCTGGAGAAGGCTCCACGTGAGACCCCCATTGAGCGAATACTGCAGCAGCACAGGCTGGCTCCTGGGGTCTGGCACCCCCTTGCCACATCCCAGTCTCATGAAGAACTGCACAAATCTAACAGGGGGAGCAATCACTCAAAGATTTCTTCTCTGCAATGTGCCAGATAACCAACTAGGGAGACTTGGAGTTTGTCTTTTGACTGATTTCTTGCTGGAAGAGTCAGCTTTAGGAGATCTTATGATTTCCTTTTCAAAGCCTCCAGAATATAAGTAGACAGACAGGTGGGATGACAAAAAATCGTTTTGCCTGTGTGGTATTTTGCCAGGTAAAGTAGGCTGAACAAAGCTGGTCATTTATGTTTTGAGCTTTTGTCTGCATAGCAGATGGTGTTCAAGTATCAGAAACATAATCCTGGGTGAAATTTTTATCCCTGTAGCCCATGAGTACAGATTTTAGTGGCAGAAAAGCAATGGTGCCCTAAGTAGATCATAATTTGCTACAAATTTGCTGAAATGCTTAAATTCAAAATAAGCATCCCGGTTTTCCATTGGCATTAACTAGAGAAAATCTGGACAGGAGAACAAAGCATGTTTCACTTTCAAGGATCATTTTGTCCATTTACTCAGCCTGGGTAAATTTGCCTAAATCACATCACCTAAATGTGCTCCCCTGAAGCCAGCCCAAGCCACCCAGGGACACCAGCACTTTCATCCCCTTTAATTGGCTTCTCCAAAGCAGCACAATAGACTTGTATCAAACTGCATAATTCCTCCCATTAGCCGATGCTCAGAAATAGCTCTACTATGCACGTGGAGTGGAGGAAACCGCTGCTGTAATGATATTTACCTATCGGACTCACAGGGATATTACAAGTATTAATTCATGTTTGCAGAGCTTTTGAACAGCTTTAGAGAGTTGTATCTGTTCTAATTATTATTGCATTAGTGCTGCCTGGCTCATGGTTGGATGAAATGGCGGAAAAAGTAGTTTTGTATCAAAAGTTTTGCTCTGGTTTGATCTGCAGGTAGATCTGCTGGGAGTGAAGGCTGCAGAGGTGCTGGGCAGACAAAGCTTCAATAAAACACCAGACCTGCAAGTCAATTAATTCTAGTCCTCACTGGGACTCATGGTTTCTCTTGCTACTATATATAACTTCTTTTGCTATAGATTATATCCACCTCCATGTCCCAGACATAACGTATTGCTTGTGCTATAAAGGAGCACTGGAGACCCTCATGGATCAGCATATCAACTGTAATGGATTGGATTCACTGCTGGCAAGCCTTTGTGCCTCCTCAGATTTACTCTGACATTCACCACATAATTCAAAGAAATAAGCCCAGATGACCTTGTCTGTTGAATCTGCTCTCTGTGCTATTCTTTTATCTGAATTTTTACTACTCTAGTAATATCTCACTCAAGTATAGGTAACATAACATCTAGCAGATTAAAAAGTTAGTGATTTTAAATATCTCTTTTCTCCTCCCACTGATATTTTGCAAGGGTTCTGCCTGTCTTGAAAAGGAAAAGCAAAATTTTCTTGTAGCTATAGTAACACTAAAATGTGTGGAGCTTCTTCTAGTAATTAAGAATTGAAAAGGATTTGATCAGATGTGATACCTAAAATATGCTGTCCCTCCTGATATTTCATGCTGTGCAGTTTCAGCTACTGGTATCACCATGATGGTGATATACTGCCACCTGTGTTAAATTCTTTAAAATATAGATGTGATGGGAGTCAATAGTGGATTGGAGGGTCCACTTGATTTTAGTCCCCAGGTGCTGCGCGTGGCTTGCGGCACCACCACCACTGCTCGCCTGTGTACTTCAGGGAGTCTCAGAAGAAAAGGAGAGGTTTTAATGTGACCTCTGAGTCTAGTACCCTTTAAAAGACATATTAGAAATCCTGTTTCTCATAATTCCTGGCAAAAACTGAAAACTCTCCCAAGTCCTGTGCAGAAGTTGACAGGTCTGCATCACAGCCGAATCTGTTGTGCTTTGCAGGTGGCCAACAGAACCAGCCTGCAAGTTAAGAAAATCTCACTGCAATTAGTTTAGGTTGCTAAAGAGCAGCCCTCAGCAACACTGTTGCAGTTGGCCTTGATGTTCAGAAAATAATATACACCTATTTGTTGATAACTCTTATTTTTCATAGGCATACACAAGAAATTAAACATACGGCTTTGTTTTTCTTTTACTAGGACAGAAGTAATTTATCTCTGTATAACACCTTGAGGTCAATATATGCAAATCCAGCTACAGACTATCACAGAGAAGAGATAAATGGTGGTTCTTTGAATATGAGCAATAAGGAAAACATGTCATTTAGCCTAATGGAGCAACTTACAATATCTCTTGTATCTTTTGTTAAACAATCTTTTAATTTCAGAATGGTCTAGGAAATCAGTGGACTATTGATGTTTGTGTTTACCAGGTTCTGAAAAAAGTTTGCTGTGAGTAATCTCACAAATTCAGTACAAGGACCTCTAATATTACACCTCACTGAGGGTTAACTAATAACTAAAAAATGGTTAGAAATTAGGCAACTTTATCGACCATGAGGCTCTGCAATTAAACCATTATTTAAAGATTTAATGCTAATGAAGACAAATTTAAAAAAAAAAGATAAAATGCCTATTAAAGTGTTCCCAACAGAACATCAGAGAGGAGTAGGGTGTTTTCAAGAGACCAGTGGAGAAAATTCTTTGAGAAAATGCAATATCTCCAAAGTAATAATATAAGAATATAAGCTAAGATACTGAAAAAATTAGAAAACAGTGCCTCTTCATTAGCATGTATGCACAAAGGATGTGGTTTGATTTGTATTAGTGTAAATTTTTTTAATGTGGCTTGCTTAACATGTCTCACTCATGAAATATCTCCTCTGCAGGCTGTAATGGTACAACATAATCTCTAAATACACTACAAGTATTTGTTTTTCAATTGCTGTAGCTAGTGACAGCTTGATGGGAATTTCTCAGTGAATTACTGGAAACAAATGTGCACAATAAGAAGAAAGTAAGCTTCAGAAATGAAAGAACTATGAGATGCTGAATGTAAGAGTTATACTGGCAGCAGATACTCCTGTTTCAGCAATGGTTCATAATACAACAAACTAAGACAAGAAGAGCGTGTAACGCGCAATGAATTTCTCATATTAAGCATTTAAGAAATAAAAGCTTGCATAAACTAATGAAGGTCCTGGAGTTCTTATTCAAGGAAAAAAGTAACCTTTAAGTGGTTAATCCTATTGAAGTTCAAGTTAAATTTGATTGAAAATGTTAACAGTTGTTACAATGGAATATTTGCTAGAGTAAGGACCACAGAATATATCAGCTTGCCTTTACCATAGAAGTACCACATATGTATTATTCTTCAGTATATTATTTCATCAGTGAAATCCTGAAAGTACTTTTAAATTGGTTTACCTGGCTTGTGACAAATCTAGGTCTCGAGTCATCAGCATACGTAAGCCTTCTTCATTAAAGAAAAGGTTGTTTCCTCCAGACATGATACCACATTTCCTTGATGGCTTTCCACCACTCACAAGCAGGAATCTATCTGACTCCAGCTGGCCTGGATACACAGTAAATACATATTTATGATTTACTCCGAAGTGCTCCTACTGCAAGAGTACTATTTCCAGATAAACATCACATACAGAGTGAAGCAATATTTGGTATTTCCAAGGCAATGTTTCCTAGAAAACTGCCATGATTCAAAAGAAAATAAACCCAAAAGTATGAAATCTAGGCTCTTAGTCTCCAGTTATTCACAAGATTTTCCACTTTTCTTCATTTTTCTTAAGATAACAAATTATCCAGGTCTACAAAGAAACGTTGAGTGCTATGTGGTAGCATGTAAGCAAGGGCTGGCAAAATTTAAAATTATCAGCAGCATCTATGAAGGGATGAGTTTGGATTAGAGGTGCTGCTTTATTCAAAACATGCTCTTCTTGCCATGCTTGCTAGTGGGGGAAACCTCGAGGGGGTTTTAGAGTTGTGTGCATGGATGCTGTGTGTGCCCAGGCACATATGAGGATCTGAGTGATCTGCTGTGCCTGCCGAGCGGCAACCCTCACCGCTGAGACACGTGGTCTGCTCTGAAATTATGTTTCCCTATTAAGGTCATTTAGATTTCACTTGTCGTGAGAAACAACACAACCTTAAAGCCCTCTGTCGTTTGCCTCACTTGCATGCATTCTGTCTGTGCTAATGTCAAACTACTATCAAGCCATTATTTTCTTCTAAAATTATTTTCTACATGCAGTTTCAGGAAATTCTATTTTGCTGGAGATATTTTATTCCAGCATTAGCAACTTCACAGAGAGTCTGACACTCCAAACCAGACATCTGATAGCCATCAGACATTCACAAACCATGCCTGAGAATGACATCTGCACTACTTGGCTCATGGGAATAGTCCCACAGCATAAATGAAATGCAGAAACTGTAGAGGTGAGGAAGACTTTGCTGTTTCATCCCTTGACTCCTGGGTTCCACTAAGATGGACAGACAGAATTCATACCCCCCCAAAATATGAGATACCTTCAAAATCATCCTTAAGGAAGTCAACATTCTTGGTACTTATTTTGCATGTTGGCCCAGAGTACCCGGGGTCACAGATGCACTTTGTGCCGTTGATGCAGCTGCCGTGCCCATTGCACATCTCGTCGCACTGCGGGCCGATGTACACATTATCAATGGCCCAGGTCACGGGCTGGGATCCAGCAGGGTAAAATCCTTGGTACCACCTGAACCTTGCCAACCTGAAAAAGGTGTAAAGTGTACTTACTTTAAACAATAGTTCCTTCTTTTTTGTATTTCATATATACCTCATGCTAAGCATATACATAGTATTCTTTCTGTTGCAATTGACTTGATAAATAGCTTAATTCTAGAAACTGACTGCTATATCTAATTCTTTCAGTGCCACTTGTATCTTTACAGTCACATTCAACTCTAATACTGACAGAAATAAAAATAACATAATTCATTAGTTGCAATACCAAAACTGAATGATGGACTTGAAAGTGGGATTTGAAGTCCAACCACACTTTTCTCCACCATTTATGGGGAGGATGAATGGCCGTGGCCTGATGGATTCCTTCAGCTTTGTCATGCAGTGTTGGGGTTGAAGCGGGCCACTTTCACCCTCTCCTGGAGAGTGAAATCCTACATTGGGCTGCCACTCTGCCCCCAGGAAGACCACCTGTGGAGCTGGGGTGGTAGGTACTCACGCTCATGGAAGGAAAACATCTGCCATGTCACCAGGTATTCAGCTTGCTTTCAGGCAGCTTAATTTTAAATCAGACTGATATTGCAAGTTGTTAATTTAAACTATATTCTCCTTTGGGTGCTGTTCTGTCATTTTTAATTTGCTTCCTAAGTGCTACTCACATCAACACTACATGTAAAGAGGAACTGAATGGGGAGGGGGAGGGAGGAAAACCAAACCGAGCAGGGAAAAAACACTTGAGAGACTGATTTTATTCCCCAATGAGAAAACGTTTTAAAGGAGGAAGGAAACCAGAAGAGTGAGAAGGGGAAAACACTTAATTGCATTGCATGTTTAATGTGTCTTGTTAGAGACATCTAAATGCAGCAGGTGAATCAATAGCACACATAGCTGACAATTTTTTTTGTCTTGATTTGCTAAGAAGGAATTTTTATGAGAATTCAGATGATAAGGGATAACTGATGGGTGGGGGCACTACAAACAGTTTGAAGAGAGACACCCAAGAACCAGAGTTCTGCTGGAAGTAAAAACCATTGATTTTAGTGACCCCTGAGATGAAGTACACAAGTCTGAGGCTGGAGCTGGGGCAGGATTCATTCCAGCTCTCAGGTACATAAACTCCTTCTCCTTCTCTCAGGCGTGGATGAAGCATGACTCATGTCTGAAGCCAACAGTGAAACACCTGTCTTGCTGAAGTTGGTAGTCTTCATTGACTCAGCAGACCCTGGGCTTTTCCTTCAGGGCATAACCAGAATATTAATTCATAGTTACAGCTATCTGCTGAAAACATCTATTAATTTCCAAAATTACATATATAGTGGAAATAACTAAAAATATCTTAATCTTCATTTAAATATAATCTCTTTACACTTTGGGAATGAAAAGGTTGTTTTGGGTTTTGTTTAGAATTACACTAGGAGTCAGGTGTGGGGTTTTTTTCCTTGTTATTCCAGTGTAGAAAATCCTCCTTTAGCTCTCTGGCCCAAAAATTTCATAGCATCAACTAGTCCATGGAAGCTGCTCTGCACTGCTGAGTTTGGCTGGCCATCAGCGACTGGTTTCTCGCCTGGCGTGTTGGGGAAGGAATAGGAAGGAAAGCAGGTATATGGGACAGAAACACTCAGGAACAGAGGACTAAGTTAAAAAAAATGGAAAGTTTAAATTAATTAGGAGTCTGCATAGTCAAAATTTTCATTTGGAGGGATGCCTTGGTAGTTAGGTAAAGGGTCAAATAACTCTTTTGGGCAAAACCAGAAGGAAAAATATGTGTCAGCAGGAGATGGTTACCTAGTCCATGCTTCAAGTGTTAACTGTCATAAACCAGAAAATTCAATTTTAAAATTTAAACATTTTGGTAAATTATTAAACATCCAGGCTTTCCAAACTCGGTTCTCATCTCTTATATAGGTCTTTTCATACTTTCAGAGGCATGTGTGGGGCCCCTTATTTAGTGGAGGGTCCATTGCATGCAGTAGTTTCATAAATGGTCTCACAGTTGCATGGACTCTTAAAGTCTCATAGTTGTATAGCTCATTTTCATTCATATATGCTAAGTTTAATTCTTAATGAAGTGATCTTTTACATAAAGTGAGGTGATGGTAGAAAAGAGTTTTCCCTGAAAAAGTAAACAGTACCGTTTTATACTTTAAAAGTTATGTTATTATGCCTGCTAGCACATATTGTTTTTCTATGCCATGTATCTGTTATTACCCAACCTGATTCGTTTCACAAACTTTAAGTTCCTGAGTAACTGCAACAGTTACTTCTGTAGAATCAGAGAACTTTGCAGCTACAAGAGACCTTGAGTATTTAGATCAGTCCATTTCCTCAAGCTGAGATAGAATCAAGTCTATTATAGCTCATATTTTACTGCATTTTCTAATGAATCTCAAATTTCATGCAAGAGTATCCTTGATGAATTCAAATTGCTAATGCATTGCAGTAATGGCACTGAAAGAGCTTTAAAGATAATATTGCATTAATTTTACTGTGGAATCCAATTTTAAAAAAAGTCACTAATTAGATGTGTGGATAAATAGGAAATTATCTGTGGTTATTCTACATTAGCATTAGGCACAACATATTTTTGGAAATGACCTAAACACTGACATTTAGGACAAAAAGCAGAGAAAAGCTGGTCACCCAATCTGCTCTAGAGCCACAGCTCTTACAGACCACTCTTGTGCTGGGAGAACATTTTGAATGGAAAATAGAAACAGAAAACAAACTTAAGAAGCATATGGACGCTTACCAGCTGGCACTGGACACTTACCCACAGAGATGCAGTTTTCCAAAGTGAATGACCTCCCTTCTCCAGCCCTGGGTGGTGCCTGCATAGTAAGTGCTGCTTGGATGATGCTCGGTGGAACAGAGGGAGCTGAGGTGGCTGCTGCTGCTGTAGCACAAGGGGAGCAGGAGATGCCAGGTCGCTCCCAGATCACGTGAGAACTCCAGCTTTACTGGGTCGGCAGATGAGCTGTCAGTGGTGCAGCCGATATTAATCTGGGGTCCAAGACAGGAAATGCAGAAGATGACATAGGGCAGGCTGTGGGACATCTAATCACCCTTTTTCTTAGTCAGCCTCCCCCATGTGGTATGGTATTTACTTAGTCCAAGAAAATGGTGTTTTGGGAACTCATTTAAAAACTGAGATGATGCACATGAACATGAACTCTTGCACATTGCTCTACCTGTCCATGGGCATATCGCACTCAGGCTTATCATGTAATGAATGTAATATGAAATCCCCAACCTTCTGCAGGGTTAATTAGACAAAATCCCAAAGGAGAGCTGCTAATGTTGCTGGAGTAAATGCATCAGTTCTCGCAGCCCTCTGGCATGTACTGAAGTAGTCACAGCACCAAAAAAAAATAAAGTACATTTTTAAAATGAGAAATACCAAAACAAAAGATGCAAGCAGAAACTTTTTTTTAAAAATTGCTGAGCTGCACTATGGTCCCCTTTTATGTTATGCTTTGAAAAAATAAAAAAAAGCTTATGCCACAGGACCCTTCAGAGTGTGTTCTGTATCACTTCAATATATTCTTCAGCTTTCATACTCAATATCCTTTTGCTCACGCATAGTGGCAAAGCCTAAGGAGAAAGCATTAAAAGAGTATCATAGCTGGACTGGATTTAGATTCAATGTCCCACCAAAATATAGTTTGGCAGTGTCAAACTTCTCAGGGTGTTCTTACAAGATTCCTGATATAGAGAACAGTATAAAAGGCAGAAAACCTACACGAACAACAGTTCTACTACTGAAAAAAATACAAAATGATGTTTTGTACAGAATCTGAGACCTCCGAGTCCTGAGAAAAGACGTATTTTCTGCATGCCCCCAGTGTAAATTAGTCTGCTTTTCTTTCACACTGATACTAAGATGTTATTTACATTTCAAATTGCCTATATAAAGGAAGAAAAATTAGTTCCCTTACAGGATGACTCTGACATGTAAAATAAGATGTACTACACTTACCATGCAATAAATAAAAACCCTTTGCCAATGAAATACAAAGCCTGTACTAAAGGTATGAAACATTTTGGGTTTTGTAGATACCTCTGTAAAGGAAAATAAGTGTATTTCTAACATGCTGCTCTGTAATGAAAATATATTTATTTCTAAAACCCAGTAATACTTAGAACTGTGCACGCATGTTCAAAATGTATCCTACATAGAACTTCCTTCATCACTCTTCAGCGCACATGAGTCCCATCAACCTACATTTGACCAGAAGGATTGTCTATTCATCTGGAAGCCTGGAGAGATGCTTGACTCAATATAGGTTTTGACTCTTGAGACACAGAGAGAAACTACTGTATTATGCATAACTCCTTCATTTATACTAAAGTCCTCAAAAACGTGAGCTGAAAACAATATTCTTACCACATATGGAAGTAAGCATGTAGATTTTATGAGGTTAATGCTCTGAAGACTTATAAATATCTTAAAGTGACCTCAAACATTTTTGTTCTACAGGCTGTAATCTATATTTTAAAACAGAAAATGGTTTGCATTCAATAATTCATGAATTGGTTGCATGAAAAACTGAAGTGTGCATGAGCACACAGCTAAATCTAGTTTCTTGGAAAACATTTAGTATCATTTTAGTAATTGTTTATAAACTGTTGAAATGTGCTGTTTAATGCTACAACATGCTACATCTTTGTTAAAAGCAGCCTAATAACTGTGGCAGGGCAATTTACATGAAAGCTTTTTCTACAATTTCTTTATGACAATATAATGACCACTCTAAACTAATACATACTAGGCTAAGTGGCTATTCCCAACAATAGCTGCCCTAGCCAATGCACAGTTTAGATCTCAGGATACACCAGATACACAGTTTAGTTTAGACCACGTGTTGTCACTGGTGTGCCTGTTCCACTGACTGTATGAGAAGCACAAAAAATACGCTCCTTATTCATGAGCTTTAGATAACTCCCTGAGATGGGAGGAATTCAGGCCACCATGGGCAAGGAACAGCTCCTACTAGAACCTCTGGGAACGTATGGGCAGAAGCAAAAGGAAAGCAGAGCCTTGGCTCTCTGAGAAAGTACAACCAGAGCAGTTAAGCCAACAGGTAGGAAAAATTATAAATTCTAGTGTCACAGATGAAGTCGTAGCTCTCCACTGGGTCAGCTAGTGCACATGCTGCACACTGCTCCAGCTGCACGCTTATTCGAGCAGGATGTGAAGTGGCAAAGCCTGGATATTTTGCTCATCATCTTGTCTGTCAGTGGTGACTCTCCAACTCGTAGGACATGAACTTTAATGCTATCAGTGCAAGTATGTAGGCGTGGACAATGTAGTAATTAAGGCAAGAAAGTAGAAGACTTTGAGGCAGAAATTTTCCTCACCTGTGTATTAAAAGCTTCATGATACACCCACACAAGGGAAACTAATATCAAAGCAATTACAAGGGAAATTATACAGGATTCTCTAGCTGGCAGTCAGAAAAGCTGGGCAAATACACCGAAGAGCAGAACCTGAAAGAACAGAACTCTCTAAACAAAAAGCAAAGTAACTTTTTGAGGATAAGTACCTCAAATTGAATAATAGTGTTCTCATTCACACTCAGGTCCCTTGTTGTAATGGAGTGTTCTCCAACTTCATTTGAAACAAATACCATTGCCGAGTCTTCTTCCCTGTAAAAAAGGAAAGGAGCATTTTAGACTTAGTTTATTACACAGTCACTTCTTTGTAATTTATTGCCAAGAGATGCTTACGGAGCTCCTTTAGATGAATATGGGCAATAAAGCCCAATGTTTCCACCAGGGTAGAAAAACCAGTTGTCCTCTTTGGGACCAAAGTCAAATGTATCCAAAAGGATCATGGGATTCTTTAGGTTATTTCCATCAATAATGAAGTCATCAATAACCCAGATTTCTTCTTTTTTACCTACAAAAAAAGGGAACATTCTTATTAAGACCTAATACTACTATTATTGGAGAACAGACCAGTAGCCAGTATTTAAGGATTACATGGAGAAAAGTGTGCTAAAAGTGCGGTTTAACTATTTTAATTTTCCATGAAAATGGAAATGGGGGATGGAAAATTTTCATTTTCTGTTAAAATAGTCCCCATACTGCTCTGCAGCCTGACCCTAGAGAATCAATGTTTATTCCTCTAAAATTTACGTCACAGCAAACTGAAGAGTGAAAAATGTGGGTTGAACAAATATCTTCTGTTTCCATCATATTTACTTTGAAACTCCAGCATCAACATCTTCTTTAATTAAGAACCATCTAAATGAGCAGTTGCTGTAGAGCTCAAGCAGCCTGAAAGGATTATTTCATTCTGCACCTTTTTCCTTGCACTCAGGAACTTGTGCTTGCCTGGCAAGAGCTCTCTGATATAGAAGGAAACTCTCAGTGACATTCTCTCCAATGGATTATGAATTCAAATGTGTTGGAAAACCGGTGCTTTCAAGTGGAGAGGAAGGATTAGACTACCAGATCTTTTGTGTAACTTTTCTTCCCCATCTATCTAAAAACCTTTGTGTTGATCAGAGGAAGTTAAAAGGCTTCTTTTAAATTAAATTCCTACTTAAGGATAATGTCTGCAAGAAAAGTTTAGTTAAATGTTTTAGGGAGGACCCATCAGAAGAATGAACTGGAACTGGATTCTTAAGACCAGCCTTGAATTTGCTTTTTTTGTTAAGAGGTATGCTAGGCATTTGCTTGCATGCAATAAATCACTGCTGTATCACTGTGTCTAAATGATGACTGGAATACTTTAAAGCCCATAATGTCAGCTCCTGCTAAGAGATGTGCTCATAGCAACTGAGAGTAGAGGAGAGCTCTCTTCAGCTGGCACATCTCCCTGCAATCAGGAGGAATGACCTGTGTTCCTCTTGTGGTTTTCTACAGTCCTTTACAGTTTAATAAAAATATTAACTGCTCACTACATACTCTTTGTAAATGGGTTTTTAATGCCTAGTTAATTCTGAGCAAGGTAGGCCCAGTTCCTGTTTACACTTGGGACACTTTTGTATAATTGGAGCATTGTAATGGGGCCTCAGTGTAAACTAGAACCAGGTCCATTAAAAATAATGAGCAGAACCCGAGTGATTGCTTGATCTCCTAGTCCCTCCAGGACCAAAATTTATAGTCTTCTGCACACAGTCAAGGGGTATTATGTTAAGATCCTTCCACTTTAAAGCATACAGTATATTTATAAGAACAGTAAACATAATCCGGTTATAATTTTAATTGAAGAACTTGAAATATAAGGAAACAAGATTTAAAAGTCTCTATTCTTGTTGAGTTAAAAAATCTAGCCTCTTAGAGATGCTGAGCTGTGCAAGTGTGGACCTGGAGTCCTGCAGGTGTCTCTTCCTTACCATTGTTGTAAGGTTGCCAGAGCCTGAACCGCGTCGCATTGCTTTGGGCTGCGTAGGGCAGAGGAACATTAATAAAGAGGACATCCGTAGTCTGTGTGAAGTAAAATTCATCTATCAGGTGCCAAGTGATGCCTCCGTTGACAGAATATTGCAGCAGGATGGAATGAGACCTCTCAGGGGTGCCTGGAGCAGAGGGGACATGCATTTATGTTTATTATAATCCAGTTTTAAAAAGCACTAGCCTAAAAAACACTTCTACAAATGTAAATACAATTAGGTTACGTTGACATCTATTACAGAGTATGGGCTTGCTTTAACAACAGCTTAAGCATATACACCTTCCTGTGCTTTCCCTTGCTTGCCTGCCTGCAAAATGCTAATGATTTAGGGGATAAATTTACATTGCTGTTCATTGTATGCATGATCACAATTTACTTAGATGAGAAGCCATCTCAATGTTACAATTTTTTAGACTAGAACAAACCAGCTCCTTTGACCACAGACATTTTTCAGTAATTCAGCATCTATCTGCTTGTTGTTCCCAGGTACCAAGACATTATCATCACCATCTGTAGCACCCACAGATAAAGACACGGTCCTTATCCTCACAAATTTATAGTCCACAGCTCTGATACACAGATACTATTATGAGCATACTCATGCCCAGAAATCATACCATTGACATAAAGTGTTGAGGATATTTAGTAGCATGTTTTTAACAACATGTGCTTTAAGCTGGGACTTAAAACCAGTGGTGGAAGTGAGAGTAAAATTTACACTTTCTGACTACCAGTTCCTCCTTTTTTTTACTTATAACTTGTAAAGAGTTAATAAAGGCTTTACACAGCCCTATATATTAACATATGCTGATTAGAGCCTAGTTTGGCCCATGCCTGACTTGCTGACCAGGAACGTCAGTGTCTGAGTGATGGTATCCCTGGGCTGAGTTCTCACTCAGGTAAATCTACACTCTCTACTCCCTTTTCTGTGATGCTACTATATATGAATAAAGCTAGAGAAGTGATAAGAAATCAACAGTGATCTTACCTTTGGCGATAAATTTAAATGAAAACTGAATGTACACGGTATTAGTGCAATCTAGATCTCTTGAAACAAGCATTCTCAGTCCTTCCTGCAAATACAGAATATATAGTGTGAATCTTAGTTTCCATTATTGAAGATGCTCTGCAGCTTATTATTGTCTGGATGTTGTCTGCTACTGACTGCTGCTAGCAGCGAGAGAGCTAGTTCTCTGTGGGGACAGTGACAGCCTTGGCAAAGTGAGCCATAGTAATGGAGAGGGTTAGATATGGGTGTGTGTCACCACCGGAGGCACAGCTACACCATCAGGTACAAACACAGGTACAACTCATTCAGCTCATGCTCTGAACGACGGGGATGTGATCTGATCTGCAAGCACTGACTTACTCAGGCATTGAGTCCAAGCTAACATTCTCATTTTTTGGACAAATTGTATAGTAGCCAAGCACCCTAATTTCCAGGCAGTAAGACTCCTCTCTAGGAGCTCTTTTCTGTGCCTTAAAAAATATTTTGTAAAAATAACCTCTTCCAGGGCAACCTCTTGACTTAGAGCAGTAAGGAGAGGAAGCACATAAGAAACCTCATAGTGACACCTAAGGTTCTGTCCATCTCTATAGATGACCTCAATGTTGTGTGGATCCTGGGGCCAGAGCTGGTCCCTGTTCTGCAGAGATTTGGCAAACCAACTCTCAGAGCTTTCCTCTTTCTCAGACCCACTGCCTCAGGGATATAACCTGCAGGAACAATCAATCCAAGTCTTAGACAGCTCACATCCTGTGATTTGTGATTTAAATGATGCAAAGAGGTTGAACTGGAGGCAAGGTTTTGCAAAGGGATATTTCTAAAGAACTAATTTCTGTAACAAACGTTATTAAACTTTGCTTTTTTGAGGCCATCTGAGCTGTGAGCCTAACATTTGTGTGCCTTTAGTCTTTCTATTATGTGTTTTATGGAGGAACTGAGAAGTTCAGATAATATGGTGTTTCTGGCCTTTTAAAACTTGTAATTAACAAAAATAAGTCCTTAAAGAGCTAGAAAACCTCAAAATTATGGAATTAAATAAAACACAGGCTTGCTACATAAACATTGATTATATAGACTACAGTGCTGACTAATTTCTATTCAAAATACACAAAAGCCAGTCAGGGACAGTTAAGACACAAACCCAGTTGATTGTAATGTGTACCATATTTCCAAATCACTCATCTGACCTCAGGAATCTCAACAGCAGAGTTTCATTCTTTTCCTTTGGTGGTCAAGGAGGAATTTATACCACAGATGAAAGTAACAGCCAACAAACAGATGAAACCCATTTGTTCACAAAAAACAACTGTGATGAACATGGAGCATATTTAAGGCAGGAGAAGACAAGAAAAATGAAAACATAAAATTCTAGCTTAAATACTTTGACATAAACACATGGGGGAAACAACAAATATTTACTTTCTGTCTCTAACTCTACTAGTTTTTATTCATTTTTTCAATGTATGTAATCTCTGACCCCTTTAAAAATGAGAGCTGTTCCAGACTTGATGGTGTCACCATTCAGGTTTCCCCTCTCAGCACCGTAGACCTCAGGCCAAAGGTCTGGATGCAAGTTACCATTGAAATCATCCTTCAGGACAGACGGCAGAGGAATGACAGGGACACAGTACTGACCACCGAAGCCTCTGTCACACCTAGCAACAAATTGGGAGGAAAAGGTGTTATCCATCTGGCCTAGATAAAACACAACAACCTTTCTATGAAGCAGGTTAAGCAGGTTGCTACTTACACACAACGACCTGCATCGCAGGTGCCGTGGCCTGAGCACATCCAGGGGCATCCTGTAGCCAGGACCACGTTATCAATAGCCCAAGAATCAACACCAGAAGCATAGTTGTACTGAATCCATCTGAACCGTGTTCTGGGAGAACTAGAAAAAAACAGAGTGAATGTATTTCAGGCTTCAGACTGTCTGCTCCACAAAGTGCTAAGTAGTAAAGAAAATACCACTGACTTCAAGAGAAGAAAAGCATATTAATAAACATGACTCCCTGTATTTGGAAAAGATTAATATTCCAGTGGAAACTGGAAGTTTTAATTTCTCATGTTAATTTTTAGACAGAATTCCAGCAGACTGTAAAGGAAGGTGCCTAAAGTGAAAACCAATAGAGAACGTTGCTGCAACTCTTGCTGCTCAGCAAAGTGGTTGAGCAGAAGCTTTAACTACATTAGCATTTGACAGCTCCATGTGTTGCTAGCAGAGTTAAAACAATATAATTGCTTCAGTAAAGTAAGAAGTAATGAAATTTCATTTATACTAAGTTTTGTGTAAAGAAAAAAAAAGATTACATATGTTCATGGATAACAATGTATGAATATATATGTACAATCATGCACATCCATACGCACTGCTGTGATTGTTGTCTGCCCTTTTATCCTCAGCTGAGGGAAGTATTTTGGAAAAAAAACCTATCAAAATGCTATGGGTTAGATCATCTTGCATTTGTTCAACAGGAAATGTGCTGTGGACAGCACACAGAGAATTGCCCTCAGACTTTGACAGGATTAGAATATTATTATACTTGTGAAGAAGATTCTTTGGAAGAAGATGTTATGGTCATCTGGAGTGAACTGTGGAATTAGAAACCAAGATGTGAACCCCAGTCCCAGTTCATTTACTGTGTGTCCATTTTTACCATTGTATTTTTTGGGTGGTGATTTTTACAGTAATGTGTAGGGTGCTTTGAAGAATTACAGAAGTATCCAGAATAATGGTAAGCAATATCATCATAATCATCTGATATTTCTAAAGTAAAGCATGGTTTTATTCGGAGAGACGGATGCCAGCATATCTGCCACATCCATTTACAAACATGTGATATCACTGGGAGGCAGTCAGAACTCTCCTCTTGGTCAAAAGGGTAGAGGTGGCACATCCAGTAACATGCAGTTTGAGTTGCTGAATGCCACGACTAACATGTCTAAATGTTGGATGGGAATTTATATGCAATGACAGAAAATACTTCTATGTAAAAGGATGGGTAAGGGCACTAATTCTTGCTTCTTATTGGGTGAATGTAAGAAAAGCTAGGTTTAGTATTCCTGTTCTTGCTGTCGTGGTTTATAGGCAAGACTTAAGAATTCACTCATCCAAAGTTGTTACTTCCTTAAGTTCCTGCAGTTCACATTATATCTGGTGAAATATTTTGAAGCTAAATTTAAAATTCTGATGGCGTGACAACACACATTTAATAATTTAAAAGACATGCAGAAAATTCCCAAGCTGGGGGATGTTTGCTCAAATTAGATCAGCAAAATCTATACCACGCTAAACAGCCAGAAAAGCAAGGCTTACTTGGTTGCGGGTGGGAGGTAGACCGTAATTCTCTTCCAGTTTTGGAATCTTTCTGAAGTGTAGATGGAGCTCTCAGTGTAGTGCTGACAGCCGATGGTTGGAGGGACGCACTCCTCTGTCACCAGGTGCCAGTCTCTCCCATTGTTTAAAGAATATTGTAAGTGAATGCTATGGGAATTGCTGTATGGCTTGCTGCAACCCATGCTCAGCTCAAACTGCAAGAAAGTGGAGGCTGACACATGGAAGTCCCAAGTCTCAGCATAACGAGGTTTTCCTAAGAAAAGAGAGAAAAACAACAGAAAGTACACCTTATGCATATGCTTTCAGTACTGTCATTCAAACTGTTTACCTGTATTTTCACCTTTTTTCAGCCTTCTCTTCCCTGCAGATTACTATATAACTGAATTTGTCTATACCTTCCATCTTATATAAACTTGACCCATAAATAATTTATAAAATAGACTGACATGAACGTTGCAGTGTTTGGTGGCACATACCGATGTTGTCACTGAACATCAGGGCTGTATCCATAGACAGGCAGTCGATGTCTACTTGACCTCCTTGTATTCTGTACCAGCTTGCTTGTAAATCCACAGTTCCATCAAATTTATCCTGGAAGCCAGTCTGAGAGCTGTCATTCATCCCTATAAGGACATCGTCCAAAGCCCACTGAGCTGAATGCTTCCCTACAAAAAGCAGAATGGGCAGGTTAGTGGAGTCCCTTTGAGTTATTTTTTATGTCCATATCCTATGTTCATGCAGTGAGCAGAGCTCGGTCATGTAGACTGAGCACTGCTAAACAAGATTAAAACATTGCTCTAAGATGAACCTGGACTCTAGAGTATGTTTCTATTTTGGATAAACACAGGTATTTCCTTCTTCATTTCTCAAGCTTCAGTGCCTTTGTCATCATATCCTCTCCCTGTGTTTGAATGAGACACTCCCTGAGTCTTTAGATTGGGGATTTTCATTTTATGGATCACAACCTTCCTGCTATTCCCCACAGCTAAAATGGAAAGGCCTTTGTCTAGTTCTCGAAGAATCTTTGTATGGAAGAGAGCACTACACAAAGGAAAATGTTGGAGGCTCTTGATATAGATTATATTCATAGAAGTGTCCTTCACTTTGTCCTTCCTGGAAACCTTTCTTCTCTTGCTTTCCAGCCTACAGGCATCTCAGTTCATCTCCAGCCCTTCATTTCAATTCACCTTTCTACTGGCATGCTGAAAATGCCATCTTACTGTACAATCACTGCCCTCACAGGAGAAGAAGGAAAGTCTTGACAATAAATTGTGAGCTCGCAGCGATGTGCCAGGACGTTTGTCTTGCCACTATGAGGAATGTGGGTCATGGCTGACAGGGCTGCTCTGCACTGAGTTATGGCAGGCAGAGGACAGTCTATGAAGGATAATATCTGTATTGAGGAGCGGTTGTCTCCTATGGGTGCTGCTATGGAAGGTGGTATTTCAACCTCCAGTCATAAACTCTCCCTTTTACTGGGAGCCACAGGATTGCCATCAGGTGGTCTTAGAGTGACTGCTTTCAGCAGGGACAGATGTCATGTGGGTGTCCCCAGAGCAAGCAGCCACCAAAAGGACACAGTTAGGGAGCAACAGGTCTGACACTGCACCACTCACCACTGCAAATGATCATGGCAGAACGATACTCTGTGGTGCACCAGTTGCTGCCCAGCATTTTTCCCAAATGAACTGGCTTCTTAACTAAATCACATCCCTCTTGACTTGTCTACTCTCTTGCCTAGTGAGGAGAATTAACTCCAGCACATACATTGTCAGAAAATGTACAAATAAAAAACAGTCATCAAAATGATAAATGATATCCAAGAAGTTGCATACCATAATTACCTGAATGAAAGCTGTGTACTTTTCTCCCCAAGGCCACTGCTGTTAAAACGTACTTTTCTGTATTTCTGAATATCACCTTATATTTCCTGCAGGGACCCAGGAGTTGCTGCCTTGCACAAAGGCAAGACACTTAATCAGGATACTTTTAATAGCAGTAATGTGACCCCTTGCAAGGTGGGAGCTCTCACAGTGGCTATAGTTATCTGTCAGCACCAGGGTTTTACTTTCAGCTGAGGATGTAAGAAGCGGCTGAGTGGGCTTTGGAGATGCAACAGAAGGCAGGGGAGGAGGGTGCTGGGACACAAGAAATGGCAGGTGATGGGAGTCCTGTTTTGGAGTGTGAAGATATCAAAATAGTGGGATGGGAGGCACCATGTAAGCAGATTCAAGGCCAAGTTATGCCTCCACTTCCAAAACAGAGGAAAAATGAGATAAAAATGTGTAAGCCATTTTGCACCCCAGGTCACCCCATACTCAGTTAAATCCGCTTTTCTGTGTAATATTCTTTTTCCTTCCTTCCCCTCTGTTATTTCTCAGCATCTTTGGTTTAAACTTAACTCTTAAACAATTTTACTCTAAGGCCACTATTCCATTTGATGCTATAAAAGATAATCACATCTGCAGTGTGACTGAGGAAAGCCTAAATATGCTCTTACAGCACACAGCTGTTCACCATACTGCATTTTTGGGTAAGCTGAGGCTTCTACAGAACATGTCCATTTGAAAACAGGCTGCCCAGAGAGGTTGTGGAGTCTCCTTCTCTGGAGACATTCAAAACTCGCCTGGACGCCTTCCTGTGTAACCTCATCTAGGTGTTCCTGCTCCAGCAGGGGGATTGGACTAGATGATCTTTTGAGGTCCCTTCCAATCCCTAACGTTCTGTGATTCTGTGATTCTGTGATTCTGTGTGAAAAGCATTGACATGTGGATTGTTTAGAGCTGCTTAACCAATTTTAAGGATGGCATTGCTTACCGTGTTGTGGCTGCCACCAGCGGAAAGCAGTGGCGGGGGTTTTGGCCTCCCGAGGTAAATCTATGGAAACAACCTGGGGTTCCAGATATGACATGAAGTCCAGCTCTCGCAGCAAGTGCCAGGTGATCCCATTGTCATTTGTGTATTGAACCACAAGCCCTATGTTTAAAATCAAAGCAGGTAGTTAGTCTGACTGTACAAAGCAAAGCGGGGCAACTCTTCAGCTGGTACTAAGGAGATGCCAACCCCTATCCAAAGCACGTGACTTCTGGCATCTCCCCTACCCTTCTGGCATCTCCTGGACTAGGAGCATTTTGTGGATGAAGTCCTACTTGCAAAGGTGATGTGGGCTCACCAGCTCTCACACACTATCTTGCTGGTCTTCATCAAACTCAAAGGATCAAATCTTTTGCAACCTCAGTGAAACTAATGATTGTATCACAGAAATGACAGGAGTAATATGACTTTCTTCATATAGTCAGTATTTATTTCATGTTGCGTATTCTTGCAGTTTGTGATGTTGTAATTCTGATAGCTGGGCTCCCAGTATGGGTAGTTCACAATGCTCATGCTACCTATGCAAGCTCACAGCACGCTTAAAAGTTAATTATCATAATATTTAGATAATTTAAGATAGTCTTCATATCTAGCACACAGTATGGCAAATTCTAGGACAGAGCAGAATTGTGAAGTCACTAATGAGCTCATCAAAGGGGATAATACATGAAAGAAGCACTTATGTATATTTCTTCTTTTAAAACTCTTTTATACTAGAGTATGTTCAAATAAAATGGATTTTCTTGTGTCTTATTCTGGTGCAAATGAGGGGAGAATCAAACCCTCAGTGTAAGCTGTGCTGAAAGATTACAGTTGTGAGTCACTATCAGTGTAAATGCTGTACATCGGGAAAGA